GGTTAATTTTAGGTTTTAATTAAGGATTGGTGGTTGCAAACACTGATTCTAGCTTGGTGGGTTTAACTCTTCTTGAGAAAGAGAGTCTATGACCCCAAAATTGACCCAACAAGGAATTGGGATGGACCCATGAGAAATGGTAGTCCCAATTAACGGGTTAAACCTCGAGAGAGTAATTACCCTACTTGAACCCTAGTTGCTTGGTCTAATTGGCCTACCCAATTGGTCTCGAGAGAGTCAATTGGGCAAGATCACTCTCTCTACCGAGAGGTGTGAGAGTGGTACAATTGAGCAACGGTTATAGAATAAGCCCCAAATATGTCAATTTACCCTTAGTAGCATCTACCCGTTAGTTAGCCACCTAGGCAATGCCACGACCCTAGTGCCTTTCTCTATATTAATTACAACTTAGCAATATTCCCGTAGCATAATTTAGCTTCAAACATTAGTCTTATAATAGTAGATATAAAAATCAAAACCAAGGATGTTTGAAGTGATATTAGAAGCACAACTGCAATTCTAGACTAAACAGACAATACAACTCCATTACTAACTCCCTGTGGAAATTCGATCCTGAACCACTATTCGGGTAAAAGCTGTTGCAACCCGCTCTTCCTACCTTAGTGTAGTGTTGAGTCGGCAGCAATCACGCGTGCAGCTAGGATTGTCTGTGGCTATGACCAGCTACTCCGGGGACCGGCGACGGCGAGGAGGAGGAGGAGTTGGACGAGCTCGAGCAGGACGCTTGGTATGGAGATGAATATCCTCAGGGCGATGGTGGAGATGGTGTTGCCAGGCAGGGTGATGAATAGGTTTTCCTTTGTAATTGTGTATATTTTGTGGGTGTCTGTTTAGCCCTTGTAAAGGATATGTTTTTCTTGAAGTATGAAGTGTTGTTTTGCTTGTTCGTCTTTAAATCTTGTTTGATTGTGTGCTTCTAAAATTTGGTTGCCTCAATCGTAATGATTTCAATTTTGTCCATGGCCGAGGCAGACCAGTGTCAATTCGAATGAGAGTACGAGTTAATCCGAACAAGGTTGAATGTCACTTTAATTAATTTGAGCGAGGTCGAATGTGAGTTAATTCGAGCGAGGTCGAATGCCACTTTAATTAATTCGACCGAGGTTGAATATAAGTTAATTCGAGCGAGGTCGAATGTCACTTAATTAATTCAAGCAAGGTCGAATCTGAGTTAATTTGAGCAAGGTCGAATGTTAGTTAATTTGAGCAAGGTCGAATGTCAGTTAATTCGAGTGAGGTCGAATGTCACTTTAATTAATTCGAGCGAGGTCAAATGTGAGTTAATTCGAGCAAGGTCGAAAGTGAGTTAATTCGAGCGAGGTTGAATATGATGCAACATTGTTTCAGTGAACGTGGGCGTACTTCATGTACGTGTGCTTTGCTTATATAAATTTGGAGAAATTTACATGTTTTCCAGGCCGGCATTCCAGTCCTAGTATAATTTTCCAAGTTAGCATTCCAGTCCCAGTCTATCTAATCCCTTCATTGGTTGACTTGGAGGGATATTGAGAGGTTGAGCAATGAACTGATCGGTCTACACCTTCATTTATTCGTACTTTAACTTGAAATGTCCTCCTTGTCACCTCATTAAAAACCTTCATGAGAAAACCCAATTGGGACAAAACTCGGGTGAGGGGAAAAGAGTACGGCTCGGAGAACATTTTCCCTTAGAAGTTAAAGTACTTGAGGTGGGCGATGTTCCAGTTGTTTAGTAGTAGTTTTCCTTCCATCGTTTCCAGTCGGAATGACCCTTTGTTTGCTGTTGCCGTGATTTTGTGTGGGCCGTCCCAATTTGTTCCTAGTTTGCCTTTCTGAGGGTCCTTGCTTGCTTGTGTTTTGGCATTGAGTATGTAGTCCCCGACTTTGAGTGGTCTGACTTTAGCTTTTTTGTTGTAGTAGCGTTCTGCCTGTTGTTTTTGGGCAATCATCCTTATGTAAGCCATATCTCTACATTCTCCGGCTTCGTCGAGATCCTGCCTTCTGCTTTCGTCGTTTCTCGACCCGCTCTCTTGGGAGTATCTCAGGCTTGGTTCTCCGATCTTGAATGGTATTACTGCGTCAGTTCCATAGACTAACGAGTACGGTGTTTCTCCTGTGCTTGTTTATGGCGTTGTGCGGTATGCCCATAGCACTTCTGGCAGTAGTTCCAGCCATAGCCCCTTGGCGTTCTCGAGATTTTTCTTCATGATGTTCAGTATTAATTTGTTAAAGGGTTCCACTTTTCCATTGCCTACGGGGTGGTACGGATTGGATAGTATTCTTTTGATATGCCATTTCTCGAAGAACTCGATGATCATTTTCCTAGTGAATTGGGGTCCGTTGTCACAACTGATTTTTTTGGGGAGGCCGAAACACCACACAATATTCTTCCATATGAAGGCGATTACTTCTTGCTCGCGTATCTGGGCGAATGCTCATGCTTCAACCTACTTAGAAAAATAGTCAGTTAAAACCAAAAGAAATCGTACGTTACCTTGCCCTGCTGGGAGGGGCCGACGATGTCCATCCCTATTTGATGAAAGGCCATGGTGAGGTGACTGAGTGGAGGTGCTCGCTCGCTTGGTGGATCATCGGGGCGTATTTCTGGCATTGCTCGCATTTTCTCACAAAGTTAGCGGCCTTTTTTTTCATGGTGGGCTAGTAATAGCCTGTTCGTATGAGACATCTGACCAGAGCCCGATCACCGGAATGTGCTCCGTAGTGGCCTTCATGGACTTCTTCTAGAACGCGTCGTGTCTGGTTCGGGCCCAAGCATTTTGCTAGGGGACCGCCGTATGTCTTTTTGTAAAGGTCGTCATCAATGATGATGTACCTGGCCGCTTGAATTTGAAGCTTCTTGGCTTCTTTTTATCATCAGGGAGCATACCGTCCCATAAGTATGCAACAATACGGTTGAACCATTCCCAAGTTAGGTTTATTGTTCTTACCTCGATTTTGTCGATTGATGGGTGGAGGAGGGCGACCACATTTACTTCTCTGGTTATGCTTTTAGTGGTCGCCGCTAGCTTGGCGAGGCCATCTGCTTCGATATTTTGTGCTCGAAGGATTTCGTCGAGCCGGCATTCGTCGAATTCGGGCAGCAGCCTGTAGATCTCGGCCTGATACTTCTGCAACCTTTGCTCTTTGATTTGGAAAGTCCCTGTGACTTGGTTGACTACGAGCTGGGAATTGCAGCGTAAGATGACCCGTCTTGCTCCATATTTTAGGGCCTGTTTTAATCATGCAATCACGGCCTCATACTCGGCCTCATTGTTAGTCATGTCCGGGCATCTCATGGACTGACGAATTACTTTGCCTATCGAGACCTCGATTACGAGTCCCAGTCCGGACCCTGATGCATTAGAGGCGCCATCAGTGTACAAAATCCATAGATCTTGTCTTTGAGGAGAGGTATTAGTAGATTCTCTCTCGACTTCGGGCATTATTTTTGCGCTGAAGTCGGCGACGAAGCCAGCAAGTACTTGCGACTTTATCGCCATTCGTGATTGATACGTGATGTCATGTTCGCTCAACTCTATGGCCCTTTTGCCTAATCTGCCCGATACTTCGGGCTTATGCAAAATACTTCTTAGGGGAAAAGTCGTCACTACTGAGATGGGGTGGCATTGAAATAAAGCCTAAGCTTCTGTGAAGCTAAGACCAAGGACATGGCCAACTTTTCGAGGTGGGGGTACCTCGTCTCGGCGTCGACTAAAGTTTTGTTAATGTTATAGATTGGAGATTACGTACCTTTATTTTCTCGGACCAGGACTGCACTCACTGCCACTTCAGATACTGCCAGATAAACGAGGAGGCGTTCTTCGGGTTCTGCTTTGGAGAGCAATGGGGCGATGATAGGTAGGCCTTCAATTTATTTAGGGTGTCAACGCATTCAGCGGTCCATTGGAGGTAGTTGTCTTTCTTGAGTACGCCAAAGAACTTATGGCACCTGTTAGAAGACCGCGAGATGAACCTCGACAGGGCGGCTATGCGACCGGTCAATCTTTGAACCTATTTTTTGTTGGTCAAGTTCTCTGGTATCCCTTCTATAGCTTGATTTGGTCAGGGTTGACCTCGATACCTCGATATGATACTATGAAGCCCAAGAATTTCCCGGAGGTCACGCCGAATACGCACTTTTCAGGATTCAATTTCATTCCGTATCATCTTTATATACTTCCATGGTTTTGCCGAGTTGATCTTTGAACATCCTTGTCACCAACCTTTGGTACGTCGCCCCCGCATTTTTAGTCCGAAAGGCATCACCCTGTAGCAATACGTTCCTTGGTGGGTGATGAAGGTGGTCTTCTCCTGGTCTTCCTCTTCTATGAGGATCTGGTTATAGCCCGAGTATGCGTCCAGGAAGCTTAGCAGCTCGTGCCCGGCTGTTGCATCGATGAGCTGGTCGATATGAGGAAGCGAAAACGAGTCTTTTGGGCAGGCTTTGTTTAGGTCTGTGAAGTCCACACACACCCGCCACTTTTCGTTCTTCTTTTTCACCATGACCACGTTGGCTACCCATTGGGGATATTTTGACTCCTTGATGGAGCCATTTTCCAACAACTTTTCAACCTCTTCGCGGACTGAGTCGTTTATGGTGGAATTGAATTTCTACCTGATTTGTCTAACCGGGGGGG